AGTTAAGGATAACAAGTGCATCTTTAGTTACCTGTCCTGCCTTCTCCTCTTGACCAGTGTCTGACAGCCAATGATAGTGATTGGCACATAAGTTCTCCAGCTCAGGATGACTCTATGTGACATACAACCAGCAAACAATGTTTAGTTTATACCTCTATTTTAGTGTCCTGTCTTGGCTTCTTTAGTTATACGAAAGGCTATGCCTACCGCTCATGAGTTCACAACATTTTGAAGGCTAGATGACGAAAATCATGGTGAATCAGAAGGATACCATGGAAAACTGGAGGGAATGGGTTAAATCTTTCTGAATTTTTATTTGCTTCTATTAATTATATATTTCTAGTCTATACCAATCCCAGAATGATAAATTTTACTGTACAGCCTACCTTAGCCTCTGCTACAGCAATAGCTTCATCCCACTTGTGAAGTTCCTGGTACATCTCAATGGCTTCATCTACATGTCCTTGTTCCAGAAGGATTGTTTCTGCCATCTTGAAGTTCTTGTCAAGAACAGCGAGTTTAGCACGAACAAGAACATGGTTTGTGCCATCTCCTCCCTGTATAACAGTAATCAACATCAGTACAACATGAAAAGTGATTCAAAGGACATGAAGTTGATGGAAAATAGTCTATGGCATGAAACAGGAGAGAAGAATAGGAGTATGCCTAAGAGAGAGCAACAACACTCAATCACAAAAGCTGCAGGAGTAACAACAGTAACAGTAACAGCAGCAATAACGAAAGAATCTGCATCAAGCATTGCCACAGCAGCAACAACTGCAGCATCAACAGCAGCAGTAACAATGGCAGCAACAACAGCAATGGCAACAGCAACAACAACAGCAGCAACAACAGCAGCAACAACAACAGTAGCAACAACAGCAGTTGTCTGTAGACAACCATAACCACATGATGGTCGAACATACAAAGAAAAGATAATTATAATACTTAATGTATGTATACCATCTCTTCAGCTGCTTGATCGGCTATCTTGTTGATCTGCTTCAGTGATTTTGTCTTGGACACATCACCAAGAGCAGCAAAGCATCGCTCAGCTATGTGAAGCTGTCGGGCCTCTAGAGCCAGTCTACTCAGTGTCTTCCACATTGCTTCTGTCTCAGGTGACATTTCAAGACTCTCCAGGAATGTCACTGCCCTATAGACGTAGGGAATTTGAAACAATAAGTGGTACATTTTCTATAACAATAATGCAGTGAAAGCTGCATAGCAAGGAAGAGAACAACGCATCAAGAAAATTCAACTTCAATGTAGTATCAGAAGAAATGTACTAAATTGTTTGGGAAAAAGATTTTCTTACCTGACATAGTCTCCGTCGTCTATAGCAGTTCCAAATTCAATCAGCCCTTCGTCCAGTGTGTAGGATATGTTTGTGACACCTTCATTCACTATCACCTCTGTTTTACCATCTACTCGTTCTAGGTCTATGATCTCACCCTAGAAAAAATCAAAAATGAAATGAATGGATGTAAGTATTGGTGGACAGATGGATGGATGGATGGGTGAAAGGGTGGATGGATGGAAATAAGAAAAATAAAAAAGACAAACAAGAGAGATGATAAAGAATCAAGGCAACAAATGGAAAAAGAGGGAGAGAGAGTGAAGACACATGTTGAATAAACAAGCAACTAACCTTAATTGGGAACATGGTAACTCTTTGAGGTGAGTCAATGTTGTACCAAATGCACAGGTTACCTCTGTTCTGAGCCACCACAACATCACTTAATGGCACCCACTAGTAATAATATACAATATCATCAATGAATGATGCATTAGTTAAAATGTTCACAAAGATTTCCAGAGCATAGTTTGAGTGCACAGCATATACTTAACCAATCATTTTATTGAACATTTGATGTGTGTTTTTAGTAAAGCACTAAAACTGTGCTGTTATGGTATATTAGACCACTGATTCCCTGACTATAGCGATCAGTGTCTGTATGCCTACTCACCTGAACATAGGTACAGTAGTTCAGGACTGTAGTTCGCGTTTGAGACTCTACATTCAGCAAATGAAGCTAGGAATGAGAAAACAAACTATAAGTGAAAATATCTTGCAAGACTATTAGTTATGAGGGGCAAAAGAACATTGTTTGAACAAAAGAGTTCTTACTAATTTTACCTTTAGCTTTTTGTCACGAAACAAGAGATATTTTCCAGTTTCATTCAACTGCAAAAAGAAATAAAATAAATAAGTGACTCAGGGAATTTAGTAAGTAGTGATAAAATGTTGGGGGAAAGGAGCAAGGAAACAGGAAGGGAAGGAAGAAAAAGAAGAAAGGAAGGAAGGATGGATGGATGGATGGATGAAAGGAAAGAAGAAAGATATGGTTGTGGGATAAAGTGACAAAACCTACCTCTAACCAATCAATCTTAGAATCATGACCAACAGTTGCTTCAATGATTCCAGTTATCAGGTTCACTAGAGACAAAAAATATAATTTTGAAAAAGAGATGGTATTTATAATTGAATCTAGCAAGGAGGGGTGGAGGCTGCTTACTGCTCTGATCAAAGGAAGACCCTTACCAACACTGATAGTCTTCAGATCAACCAGGTAAGCCATCTTCTTGTTATCATCAATGCCTTGCTGTTTACGTTCATTCAAACGCACACTGAAATTATAAAAAAGTCATGAGAAATGCTGTACAGTTGGTACATATAATAGGAGACGTGGTGCATAGTTACCTGATTAGATGTGGATTCATAAACTCTGTTCTTACTGTACCAAGGATTTCATTGTTACCATATTCGATCAATGAGAGCTCTCCTGCGTTGAATATCATGCAAACCTAAACAGAGTGAAAAGTTGAAATGTTTCAAAATTTTGTAGACATTCCCTTTCTTTCTTCCTTATTTTCTCCTCTCATTTTTTCCATTTAACTCTTTCCTTTCCCTTTTTAATTCCCTTCATTTGTTTTCCTATTCCTTTTTTTTCCATTTTCCTTCTCCTTGTCTTTCTTTCCTATTCATTTTTCCCTTTTTATCCCTTTATCTTCCTTTCCTTTCTTTTCCTTTCATCCACTTCACTTACATTCTCATTTTCAAAGAAGAACTTCTCGTTGCCACCAGATCCTTGCCATGGAACCTGGACAGAAAAAAAGAGTTAAATTCACCTCAAATAGAATAGTACATAATATTTGTAGCTTAACTTCCAAGAAATTTTTCATGATCTCATAGAACAACAGATATCTCAATAAACCTAAGAAATCAACCCACCTCACTGAGCTTGTTAGTGTTGAGATCCCCGACTAGTATGGTATCTGTTGTGTACGCAACCAAGTAGCGGTCCTTACCCATGATACTAACTTTATCAACCTTCAACAAACAAATTAGAATTATAAATTTGTTAAAATAACAAGGTATTTTCAGAAGATGTGTTAATTGAAAACACGACTTGACATTTCAGCAGTATGCTAATAATAGCCTTCTTCAGAATGAATGACATTATCTGCAATAGATTTGATATTATACTGAATGAGATGCGTAAACGCAGTACTTACCTCATAGCCATAGTGAGACTTGAGAACAACACGGGTACCTGATGAGAGGTTTTTCACAATGACCTGGCTAAGACCAACGTATGTCATCTCAAATTTGTTCTTGTATATGGATCTTCTGAGGCAGCAGTCAAACAGTTCTACACCACCACAAAGGGTGCCCTAGAAGAGTTGTAGAGCGAAAATGAGAAATGTTAGGTTAAATCACACAGACACCTTCAAGTTGTTAGATGGACACCCTTCCTTAAGCAGACAGCTATTTACATAGTCTTAATGTCATTTGGATCATCATGCAATGCTTCATAACTCCATGAAGTGAAACATTATGTACCCCTAATGTCAAGGATGTCTGCCAGTAGGCTACTAAAAGAACTTTGAATACAACTTTCATATAAAGGTACATACTGCAACAAGCCTGGATCCATCTCTCTTCCACGCCAGTGCAGTAATGGTGTAGAGGTTTGGTATCTCCTTCATCTTGGATTCATCCCAACCACCTTTTCTTGGACTCCAGTTGTACACTCTCAATCTAAAATATTAGACATTCCAAAACCTTTGTAAACGTTTGTGAGGTTGGCAGGACGTGATAGAAGTGTTAGGAATGAACGATGTATGTACTATTAGGAAACCATGAAGTCTTACATATCTTACTTATGTATATCACATACCTATCAAAACTTCCAATCACGACAGATTGTCCACTAGGGCTGCACACTGCCACTGTGAACTCCTTCTCGTCATCATCTCTGGAGTAATCAAAGTTCTGGAGTACACGACCTATAAGAAGACAATGGTATTGGATGTTAAACAAATGTCTAGTAGTCAGTCGGCATAAGAGTCCTTGTTTATAAGTAGAGGGTAACACTTAATAGCTGGTGACTAACAAATATGTGACTCTCATTCCATGATTGAATTAGAATTTTGAATATAGAGGTTGAATACCAGTAAAGAAATTTGATTTTTGCAGAGGGAGAAAAACCAGAGAGTACCCAGAAACAGAGAAAAACCCTCAAAGCCCAGGAGAGAACTAACAAGTAACTCACACTTGAATGGAATCTAAGTATTGAGCCCATGAACACCAAAGTGAGGGCTGACAACTCAGCAGTACATGCCTCTCAAATCATTATTATCATTATACAGTACCTTCTTTTCCATAGGCGACCACTCGTTTGTCACAGCCTGCAGCAACAATAGATGATCCCCAGCACAGAGAGTAGGGAGCACAGGAATGTTTACACAGTTGTCCCTACAAGGACAGATACACTGTTGTTACACTAGTAACTAAAATTTGACTATATGAATGATATATCATTTATCATTATCGATGATGATAATGATACATGATAATGCTGATGTTGTTGATGATGATGATATTGATGATGACAATGAAGATACATGATGATGATAATGATAATAATATCCTGGATATACCATACAGTACCTGTGATAGCCCTGTCCCTTCATCATCAAAGAAATATCTTACAATAGCACCATCAGCATGCCCTGTCAGTATGCCTTTACCTGAAGTACTAAGATATAAAAACACATGATTGTTAAAAGTACACTAATTAAGTTAACGTAATATCAAAAGCTTCAAGTTACTTACTTCGATGTTAATGAGACAACATAACTGTCAGTCCCATAAATTGTTTGTGACTTGTTTGTTTTCAGATTGGCCAACCGTACCTAAAATTCAACAATAATTTTCATTCAGTAAGTGTAACATTCTACATATGAAATTTTTATGTATCAAGTACTTTGAAATAATAATGAAGCTTTAACAATTTTACCTTTCCATCTGCTAAGCCAAAGATAACACTTTGTTGTTCTGGTGGCCAGATCATACAAGTAACTGCACTCTAAAAACAATATCAACAATACAATCAGCATTAAAAACGAAGAGTGGCCTTTCAGCCACTGGACTTGACAGAATTTTATATATATGTATATTTGTTGACTAGAGAAACTAAAGACCCTCGATAAAAAGTTTAAATCCTGGAAAGAACCAGGTGTATTTACATCAATAATAATTCATTAAACTGATCTGATATACGAAAGGTATTATGACACTTCACTTACTTGTTGGACAAACTTATTACAAATCACTTTCTTCTCTCCCCTAAAACAAAAGTTTACAAGTAACAATATGACTTTTTATGCAATGAATATTAGGGTAGGGTAGGGTAGGGTAGGTAGGGTAGGTAGGGTAGGGTAGGGTAGGGTAGGG